GTAAGCGCACGTCATGGGAGGCCTTTGCCTGTAGCCTTTCACATTTTTCACTTCTGGCTGTCGTGAAACAAACTATATATCAAGCCAAGTAGGTGCAACTACACTTAAGGACCTGGCATCCATATTGGCAAAGTTTTCACTGATCAGTTCGTCTTGGCGCCAAGCCCCTTGACGATCAGGACCATAGATTTTTGCAACTAAACCCTTGCAGGCATAGTCCTTATGTAACATTCTCTCTGATAAGAGGATTAGTTTGTCTGTTATGAATAGGCTTGACCTTTGTCAAGCGTAAAGTTAAGCCGTCTCTTCTGGTTCCACGATTGTGGCTTTGAGCCCTCAAGTCACAGTGTTCTCGTTGAATAGGATCTTCATGAGAGGTTGCTGTGCAGCTTAGTCTCCTGCTTTAACTGATGGCTGGTGTGAAAATAGCTTTGCACTATTATATCTGATTTTACAGTCTTCTGTTATTCCTTTTAACTTATGGCTGGTGGGAAAATACCTATGCAGTATTATCTATGATTTTACAGTAGCGACAATCAGTGATTTTAATTTTTCAGGACGATTCACTATTGCTATTTGTCCTGCTTTCTTGGTGGTAGCACCTTGTTTTGGATTATCTTTGTAGCGAGGGTTTCGGGGGCATGCTGCCTCCGTGCTTAAGGTCGACGCTGTGAAGGGGGGGGGGCGGATTCCTCCTGATCGTTGGAGGTGCGGCCTATTGTCGCCGGGGCGGGATCAGCACCGATCTTGCAAGTATTTACTCATTTTACCTCTTGCAGAGTTTGTACAATTGTTGGACACAAATTACCATAGCTGCTGTTGCGCTTCTAACCCCCCTCCACACACACACACACACGAATGAGACCGTTTGAGAGACTATTAAAATCGATTTTAAACGGCTGTGGGAATGCTTACTGAATTTAGCTGCAAAGACAAAACAACTCCGTCCAGTGTGAGTGACTATTTAAGTTTTACTACTTGATCTGTAAGGATCGAAACATGTAAGGGTGCTAAGTTTTCAAGTAGTAAAACTTAAATAGTCACACTGGAAGGAGTTGTTTTGTCTTTGTAATTGTTAGTGTGACGGACCAGAATGAAACAAATCAAATGAATTTAGCTGGCTCGTGATAGGATCCAGTGGACGGGGTTTTGTGAACACGGTCCCACAAGGGGCGGCGAATTTCAATAGTAGCTGAGCGACTGTAACATTCTCAAGAAAACTCTCCATCATGGAGTTGATAATTAAAAAGCGTCAGTACAATAGTCAGTACTCGTACAGTACTCTACAGTCTACATTAAGGCCACCCAGCAGACTAAATGTCCAGTTCCCTGCTAGAAACTCGCATGAGTTTCCTGTTTGCACCGTAGCGTTCAGGTTTCTTGCTGCACCTATATACGATACTTTTTTGCAGTGAATGCATCCTGTTGTGTATTATATATTTATTTTATTGAAAGCCTTCACAACACAACAACTAATAATATGTTTGTAGTATCGTGTAGTACTTTACCACATGTTTCGGCTTTCAAGAAGCCATCATCAGGTAAATACATTTAAAACTTCTTAGCTATTGAATTTCATGCTAATTACACGATGTAGTATCAGATACTACTATACTATTTGAAAAGTCTGATACTACGTTGTGTAATTAGCACGCAATTCAATAGCTAAGAAGTTTTTAAGTGTATTTACCTGATGATGGCTTCTTGAAAGCCGAAACATGTAGTAAAGTACTACTTGAAACTACAAACATATATTATTAATTGTTGTGTTGTGACGGCTTTCAATAAAAGAAATATGTACGATACTGCATATTGTAGGGGTCTTCGTAAGGGCACGATATCCAACTGAGGGTCGGAATAAGTTAGCATACATAATTTCCCTCCTGTTTTAAGGAATAGCGGAAGCAGATATGTTTGTATCTGCTCTCTGGTTTCCCCGTTCCGGAGGTAATTCCCCTTATGCATTTCGTTTCATCTAACTTTTCCAAGTTTTGAGTGTTGGCTGATGGGAAGTCAAATATACACACAGCTCATTTTGGTTGCTCAGAAGTAATTTCACAGACATCATAGCTGTAAGTGTAGGAAAACTGGAGTGCTTGTTCAGAATGTACTGTTAGAAGCTCTTTTTATGCGTATGGTTTATTTTGTGAGGCGGACAGTATTTTATATCTTGTAATGTGGAATAGTAGGATGAATGATGAGTAACGGAGTGGAAAGGATTTGAAAGGAACTCGCAGTGGCCTAAACGAGGCGCTGTATCGACGTTTGTCTGGAGGGCTATCAGAAGTTTTCTTCCATATAAAACACTATTTTTGAAATTTAAATGTCATGTTTGTGGTCTAGAATACTGAGATTAACGGCCGTGGGGATCCGTTGCGCTGACCACGTGACACCCTCTATCCGAAAAAGTTGGTACTAACTTCGCTGACAAGCGGCGGTCGCTCGGTCGGTGTAGTTGGCTTGCGGATTACAGGCCACGGAGTTTTTTAGTTTGAATGTCATGTTATTAATTGTAAGTAAGCCTTTTATATACAATATAATTCCATCAATAATGCAACTGTTTCTATCACTCCTTCCCTTCACAACATGTTTCGGCCTCAAACAGACATCATAAGATGTCTCAGCTATGCCAAAACTGTTCTACTGTACAGAATGTCCACTTTTTCACATCACATTTAACTGCCATATTTCATGATCTAAAATGCTGTATGTTATAATCGATACTCAGTTAACAGTTATGTTAGCAGTTAATGGACCTGTAAACAACATAGAAACGACAAGTGATCAATTATTTATGCATTGCGCGTTTAAGGTACTTACGAATACAGTGTAATTATAGACCTCCTAATCGACTTAAAACATCTATAGTTCTTGTGTTGTTGTTGATAGGAATATTAGACATGTACAGAATTACAAAATACACCATCAAGTACTTCTACGAGTGCTGTCTACATGTATGTGCTATTTTCATACCTCGTTTGATATCCTCGCGGTAGGCGAGTCTCTTCCAAATTCGGTTTAACCCATTAAAGAGAGCAGTTATGTACTACCCACTTAACAAACAAAATGTCTGCTTTCTGCCGACAGGGTGTATTTACGAGTGTACGTTTCTTATGGTTCTCACGAGAAATAGCGATTATTTATCTAAACAGCATTAGCCGGTTGGTCTCTGTAGCAGAGACATTTTCTGTGAGGTACGGACTGTATATTTATATATTATTTAGAAGACCTTCAGGTTTTAAAGGATTAAGAATGTCCTCGTCAATTTGCGAAAGGGCCGTTTTCATTTCTGTATAGCTTCTTACGAATTTACGAAAGCTGTAGATTGGCTTCCATTTGTTATACTCAGCACTTGCTGTACAATTTTTCTATCCCTTCTGGATTGCCACATTTTTTTGGTCATAAATTCGTTCCAGGCTCTTCCACATTAAATGTTTTTTTAAATGCAGGTTTGCTTTGTACCATTTTTTCCCGAGTTTGTAATGCTTCTGTATGTCTTCGATACACAATAGATGGAAGACGGTCGCGGTGCAAGGGCCTTTGAACGACCACCCCTTTAATCTAATCTAGATGTACGCGTGTATTTCCTTCAGTGCTTTCCGCTTCTCTTTCAATATGTTCTTTCCCCAAAGTCTTCTTACTAGCCTGTTTATATATTTTACATACATCTGTGGAACTTCACTTTTCATAGTTGCAGCTTATGGTGTAAGCCTAATTTCCGTGGTTTCCGCGGTTTCCGCTCTGCCTTCTACATTTCTAAAAAACCATGTTTGGCGGCGAATGTTTCACTGATGACGGAGAGGTTGAAACAGAGGTGTGGAAGTGGCTGAGACAGCAGTCACAAAACTTCTACGCCGTGGGTTTTGACGCACCGGTAAAGTGACGGGACAAGTGTATCAATGTTTGTGGATATATAAATAAATAAATAAATACATGTTTCCTCCCAGGTTCGAATATCATGTTTTACGTCCAGCTGGTCCACTCGACATGGCGGTCACTGACTGCCCTATTGTACCTGTCCCAGGTGATTATTTATGATGATGATGATGATGGAGAATCTGGTGGAATGAAGATTGACAGGGGGAACCGAAGTACTCGGAGAAAACCTGCCCCAGCGCCAGTTTGTCCACCACAAATCCCACATGACCAGACCTGGGATCGAACCCAGGCCGCCGCTGCGGGAAGCCAGCGACTAACCGCTTGAGCTATGGCGCGGCCTTTATGACTTATTTACTGACTCTTCCTCGTAAGTATACAAAGGAGAATCAAGACGCATAACTGGAAAGGCGGGCTAATATTCGGCCGAGGTCTCTAGAAAGATGTCAGTTTTGTGTTACAGGGCTAATACAACCGTATGCGTTGAAGGAAACATATATATGTATATAAGCTCAAGAAAAGTAGCTTTCAAGAAGTTGGAGGAGGGGGTATGTACAATGTTCATTTTCCTTGAAGTTCCACCATCTGCACAGATGTTTGTGTCATTTAATGGCGGTGGTTCAGTTGTAGACTGTGCAGAACCCCAAATGAACTGGACAGATGATCTTGAATGTCATTTGATAAGGACGCCGAAGAATGCGACCTTGGAAGGCATTCGTCAAAGAGGCTGAAAACCCTACAAAAATGGATGCCAAGTATTTTTAGCGAAATGAATTAAAAGCTGCAAACTTGGATTTGCATTCATACACATCTTCACAAAAGATCGATCATTTGTTTCAGAAAGTTATTGGAGCAGAGACGAGGCGGTCAGACAGTAAAGGGACACTCAAACGTGCAAGTTTAACCTTAGCCCATAAAACAAGGACAGTTAGAGCGGAATCTAAATAATGACAGTTTTATATAAGTAAACTTATCTAGTCAGAATTCCGCAAAGTGCAAGGTGAGAGGTGAGGGCTTCAACTCTGCCCTGCACTTGGCCGAGATTGTGATAATAAACTGCCACACACGTCACGGGCGATGGAAAATGTGCACTCATATAGAACTTCGGTGGATTAAGGATTTGCAGAAGGAAACCACGAACTGGAAGAGAAATCTGCCGGACTGTCATTGTATTCACTGCTGATATCACACGGACTGCACTGGAATTGACCTCTGTCCTCTCCTGCGAGAAGCCGCCTCTAACCGTCTGGCCACGGTAATATTCGTTTTACGGTATATTGGAACTGTTCAAATATTACGGTGTGAATTTGCAGTTTCCCAAGTTTCTGTAGTAGCAACTCACCATTCTTGACCACGCATGACGTTCTTCGAATTATTAGCTAAAGTAATGTTCAGCGTTTAAATAGAATGGACATTTATTTAAATACAGCATGGGGAAAAATGTTATTATAAGTACACAGGAACAATACCAGGCAAGGTTCTTAATCGTGTACGCTATAGTACGTATAAATTTGTGAGCATTAATCTCGACGTAACACTTGGGTAAAAAGGTAAAGTTGTTCCTGTGCTTAACTAATGACGCACCATGTAATGAAGGCGTATGGGGGAGTGGATGTATATATACATATTTTCTTGACCTCAGCACTAGCTGGAGGTGAGTGGTCAGCTTCACTCCCCGACCGCTTTGCAATCAAGGAAAGAGCCCTCGGTACCAATTGAATGAGAGGTTGGGCGAACCCCAGAGCCGGTGTGGACGACGTGGAGAAGACAAAATTCTTCACCCTACAGGAACTCGAATTCCGACCCCTCGGTCGTCCAGCCCGTAGCCAGTCACTATACCGACTACGCTATCCCGGCTCAACACTTGAAGGGGTAGTGAATATTTTATAATTATAACGCAATTAGAACACAGGAACATTGCCGATAATATTTTATTATTTAAATTTCGTGTTGGAGCAAAGTTCAGACATGAAAGAGGGAAATGAAATACAGCCTAGGCCGATTCATATTATGGCCTTCTGGGTTATGGTAGTGTGTAGCGTCATAGGTGATGAGCAACATTACTGCTTGCATCTTCAGGGATTCTGAAGATGGAGACAGTATGTTCCTCCGTAATATGAATCTTCACTACCACGGGAACCTCAACTTCGTAAATCTCGAATATAGAGAGAACTGCAAACAACTTCATGCAGTTCAGACTATAGACTATAGCGTAGACTATAACGAGAAAGGGTGGACTCGAATTGTATTTCAGTAGACTAATTGCACATTCATTTCAGCTGAGAATGCAACACTATGGCGACACTGTACATGAGGATGTTGTGCCCTGCTGTTATTTTGGATGGCGTGTTTCCATTACATGCGGTTCTTATCGTGCAACTGTTGTAGCTGTGAATCAGCCAACAGGAATGAGGTCCCAGAGGAAATATACATTGCTTTTCATACCATGTCTGGAGACTTGTTTTAACTCTTTTACTCTCACTGTTTTGCTCTTGTTTTAACATGAGTTAAAAGTCAGTGAGAAGTAACAGGCTAAGCCTGTGTGTTGTGTGTCAGAGAAAGCAGTCTTGGAACCATTGTCCTGGTTTCTGTGAAGACTGACTACTCCTGCCGGTATTGGAAATGAGTTCTTCCAGAAAAGGCATGTCAGGCAGCACACAGCGGCTTGCGGTGCTTTCCTTAGTACTGGTTCATAACCTACTGCCCATATTTATTAAAGCGAGTAGTATGTCCCAACATATCTGTGTGTGTTTTTGCCCGAATCGAGGATATGCTGTGGAGCCTGTCTGCAGAGGGCTGTTGCAGTACATGCTGAATGATTGGGGGGGGGGGGTTGAGATGTATATGAATAGAAATGGTTTTGTCGATGGAAACCTCGTGTCCGGAAAAAAATCCAGCTTTCTTCCCTCAGTATTTAGTCTGAGCGACTATATAATTAATAAGCCAGGGACACGCGGTAGCGTAGTTGGATGAGGCACTATGCTACAAGCCGAAAGGTCGCGGGTTCGAGTCTCGAGGTGGATATTTTCATTTGACGTAATCCTTCCATCCGCACTGTTGCCCTGGGGTCGATTCAGCCTCTAACAGAAATGAGTACCAGGAATCTTCCTGGGGGGCAAAGGGCGGCCGGTGCATAAGGCTGACAACCTCACCGCCATCTGTGAGCCGATTATCTAGAAAATGTTGGAACCTCAACATCTCACAAACCTATGGGGCTTCACGGCCTGTTACAGGGATAGCTATAATTGTATTATTTTATATGTGAATGTATAAGCTTGTACGGCAGAGGGAGATGTAAATGACAACACGACGTGCTGTCATCCATGCAGAATTGTTTATTGCGATAAGCGCAGATGTTTTAAATATAAGCTCAAAAACGTATTTATGCTGTGATGCAAAATTCTCATTAATTAAATCGTTTGTATATTTATACATGGGAGGAAGCTGCATGTAATTGTTGTCGAGAATAGGAGACTCTGGTAATCTTTGCATGTGTTACGAAGGCCACTGCTTATTGCTGTATATGTAAGTTAGGAAATGCACGTGCAGCGGGACAGTTCTTCCTGAAACTCAATAAGACTTAGAAAAATGTGTATTGAGCGTAAGGTATTTCTCAACAACTTTTGTTTCAAACGTTTTTCGCACTTATAAATATTATACATGCAGAAACACTTATAGGTGTTCATGTAAAGGGTGCGATATTTTTGTTTGACTTCAACCAAAATTGGAATGTTTCAGTAAATTTCAGTAGAACTCTCAGTATTAAATTTCGTGAAAATCCGCTCAGCAGTGTTCAACGTTTCATGAACATGGAGGGACAAGCAGCCATAGGATGGAGCGATTTTAATAGGTTCTCTGCAGGGTTGGGAAGGCGCCTAGAAGGAGAACATGCAATTGTCATAGCAGTATAACAGAGCCTGTAAAACAGTGAACTCATTGTATCTCATATTCCTGATCTTTGATGAAGTTGCATATTATTCATGGCCTGTGTGCACAGTGAGTTACTGTCAAGCAGTGCGCCGTCGTGAGGCAGTTTAAACGTCCACGAACGGAAGTTTGTACAAACAAAGCTTGTTCTGCCTTTAGCTTTAATGTTATCCCACAGTCATAATAGGGAATAGGAGTGGAAAGGTGTATTGAAATGGAGCGCAGTTGGTTTCAAAATTCGTGCTCTGTATATCTTCTTGGCCATATTGTAATATTATACATTTAAATCCATAGTTGCAAAGCTAATTACATTACAAATATCACATTGCATGAAGTCAGATATTATTTGTCGATATATTTCGCTTAGTATATGTCACGACGAAATCAGTGTTGATTCATACTCGTATAAAAGGTGTACAGCTCATTGAGGTCTGTAGTTAGTCTTACATACTACGAGGGTACCTACTAAAATGGCTAGAGCAAATTGCTTGGATATTTGATAATATTGGACGCAACCATGTGAAACTACTACAGCATGTAGAGACATCTATAGGGCAGGTTCTGACAGTGTGCAACCGATGGCAGTGCGAGAATCATGGCCATCCCGCTAGAAAATTGCGCGAGAGAGGAGCAGCGTTCTGTGGTCAGAAGGAGTCAAACTGAGGGAGATTCACAGAAGAATGATTCCGCAGTATGGTGTAAGCAATATGAGCGAAAATTGTGCCAGTGGGTAGAAGGCCCATATGAACATCGCTCTGGTCGCCCGTGCACAGCCGTCAGTAATGCCTACGTTGCTCACGTGGACGCACTTATTGGTGAGAACAGGCGGATTTCTGTGGACACTGTTGTCACTGTGTTGAACATTAGCGTTTTGGATCTGCACATGGCACCATCCAGGAGGCTCATATATCGCTGTGTTCCAGAGTTGCCCAATGAACACAAGTTGAAGCGTGTAGAGCTTTCTTGATACGTTACCATGCCGAGGGTGAAGAGTTTCTTGCACGCATTCTCACGGGGGATGAAACCTGGGTTCATTATTGTGAACAGGAATCCAAAAAGACAATCCATGGAATGGCGACACACATCCTGTCCTGCTATGAAAATTTGAAGTCTGCACTCTCTGCCGGAAAACTTATGCTGACATTGTTCTGGAATATGAATGGATCAATTCTTGAACCCTATCAGGAGAAAGGAGAGACAGTCAACAGCGCAAGGTACAGCACCACACTGGAAGAGAAACGGGAGCCTGCAATTCACGGTCGTCGCGGACTTCTGTCCAAAGGCGCCCTCCTTCTCCATGACAATGTGCGATCACACACTGCTGCTGCAACAGTTACAGCCATCCAGAAACCGAAATTTGAGGCCACATATCATCATCATATTCCAGACATCGCTCCATCCCACTGTCACGCGTTTGGCACGCTTAAGGACGCATTGCGGGAACGAAGACGTCACAGCGACTACAAGGTGAAGGAGACGGTGCATTTCTGGCTTCGACTAAAACAATGTTTTTCCTACTGGAAAACAGAAGCTTGTCTAAAGATATAAAAGAGGAGGGTGTAGTCGCAACATTCCGAACTTGGATTTGAGAGGATCCCGGGTTACCAGCTGCCCTTGCAGGTTTTCATTGTATTCCAAAGTCTCTTGAGGCGAATGGCGGGATGATTTCTTGAAATAAACCGCTACAAATTATTAGATACTTATGATTGCCTTCTAATCTCGTGCAACTTCTCAATTTGAGACAGTATGATCCAAGCGAGTAACAGAGTGACTACGTGGATTTAAGTGTAACATTTCTCATTAAATACTTAAAAAGTAAAGGTATCCCTGTAACAGGCTGTGGAGGCCCATAGGGTTGTGAGATGTTGAGGCTCCCACATTTTCTAGACAATCAGCTCACAGATGGCTGTGAGGTTGTCAGCCTTACGCGCCGGCAGCCCTTTACTCCCAGGAATATTCCTGGTATTCATTGCTGTTAGAAGCTGAGTCGACCCCAGGGCCATAGTGCGACTGGAAGGATTAGGTAAATTGAAAAATCCACCCCATCGGGATTCGATACCACGACCTTCCAGCTTGTAGCGTAGTGCCTCAACCAACTACACTACCACGTGCCCCCATTAAATACTGAACTGAAAATTGTCTCGCGTGTTGTGTTGAAGTTCAATACGCCGAACACAGAAGTGCGGTGAGAGCATCCCTGTGTCATGTTCTGGATTCCCCGAATTCTAATTTTGATTCATAGATCGAGATTTTGCGTGCGTTTTCTCATTCGTTCCAGGCTAATGTAGGGAAGTTAATATTAATCACTGTCGTTTCCATTATCTTTCG